ATCATCTGCGACTCATCAGCTTGTTCTTGTCACATCTCCAAGCAGTAAAAGCACTGAATAAGGGAAATGTTGGGCAGGTGAGCAAAGGTGATGAGGTGCTGTGGTTTACCGGCAAAGGTGATGGGGTGCTGTGGTTGACCCCGAAGAAATGCAGTTGTCGTTCTTAACACTTATGAGCGATAACAGTTTATCGTTGGGATATTATCGTCGGATTTTTCTTTGGGATATTATCGTGGGATCGAAAAAAAGTGATTTACTTGGTACTGTGGATTAAATATGTTCACATAACATCTGTAAGAATGATAGTGAGGCCACTGCCTCGTCACTTTATCTCGTACCGAGATTAGTGGTACTCTTACATCAGTTGAGAAAAGGCGATTACGAACATGTGTGGATTGGCTCCTGGTTGTATAACTGTTGCTTCCCGAACTGTAGTAATGTAAATTGAATGTTTTCCCATTTGCAGAAGTGGTAGTGAATTCGACAAATTATAAGGAGTGTGAGGAAGTAGCGAAACTTCTGCCCGATGAAGTGAGGGAATTGCGAAAACGGAAACTGAATGTTCAAGTTCGGGACTTGGCAGACTCCGATATTCGGGTAAAAGCTCAAGCTTTTCTTAATTCTCTAAAGCAAGAGTTGATGACACGCATTCCTTTTTCAGAGTTCCCGTTCTATTCCCAAACCAGTTTGGAAATTCGAGCATGCCTTTGGCTCAAACAGCGCCTTGATGAAGCTCATAGAGGCACAAGGGTTTACGGAGCCAACTCCAATACAGTGTCAAATGTGGCCAATCTTATTGTCGGGATATGACTGCATAGGCATTGCGCAGACGGGAACTGGTAATTTTTTTTAAGTCACTTATTATGCGTTTTGTGCTGTGTAACAGCAGTACAAAACGCATATTGTTACGGGGTTGTCTGTGTGTGTGTCCCACATTTTGTCCCGCACTTTCAACTCAGGAACCACAAAAGCTAGGCGGCTGAAACTTTGATATAGTGTTCCCCGTCAGCGGGTGACACGGCAAGTTTAAATTCAGCCTCCCCGTACCCGCGGGTAACACGTGCGGCCTCGTGAAATTTTTTTACGGGTAAATTAATATCTCAGGAACCACGGGGTTTAGGAAGCTGAAATTTTAGGGTAATAACCCCCTGCCCACGCTCAACCTTACCTATTCAAATTCAGCGTTCCCTCGCTGTTGAGTATCACCTACGGCCTCGTGGGAATTCTGGTGGTTAAACTATTAACTCGGGAATCACGGGAAGATATTCACTTTTCAAGGTTTCGAATTCAGCTTTCATGCGCTGGTGCGTGAAATTTCTAAGTATTTTCCAATGTTTGAACTATTTTTGCATAGACTAAAGTAT